GGAGCTTTGCCATCAGCACGATCGGGCATGGGAAATGCTTTCAAGCTGGCTCAAGGTCACACAGCCGGCAGATATCTCTATGTAAACACTTTTCAACTTTCTAACTTCTTTGGAAACTGTTCCCACTCAGCGAGCCAACCAACTATCTGATTAAACTATTTGTTCATACAAATACGTGCTTGTTCACGAGACTTGCACGGTACAACAATAAACACATCTTTATCAGCAATTATTTTTTTACTTTGCCATTATTTCAATTCAGATCTCGGTTCAGATATTTCTTGTATATTTTAAAGTTTCTTCTTTGTCGTGGATAAATTAGTTGCCTTGATTTTTTCGGTTAACTTCGCAAAACTTTTTCGGTATTATGTTGCGATGTCTCAGAAAATAATGAGTGATATTATCTAAAAAAGTGAATTTAAAGAAAGTTTCCTCAATTTTATGATTCTTTTAAAATTTCTTTAAAAAATAATTTATATAAAACGTATTAATAAAAACTCACTAAAATGAAATACTCATCCTACCATATTTATTTTCAATTACTCTCATATAGAATTTTTTCTGAAAAATATGATTGTAAACCATTTGTGTAAAACGATGAGAAAATTAAAACTATAAATAAATATAAGATATGATAATTTACTTATTTCAATTTCAAATACATCATTTTTTGAAATAAGTTATATACACTATTCATAACTTATTATTCTATCAACAGGGAATAAAGAGCTGAACGATGAAAAATTAAGTAATGGTGTAATACTAATACTTACTATTGCCGGGTTACAGAATCGTCAAACATCAGGTCTGTTTTTCCCAAGTCTTAAAAAATAATATCCTTCAATCCGGAGTTCCCAGCATTCGGCATGTCGTGCCATAAAAATTAGTTCCCTCAACAGATATTTATATATTGTAGATTCAACTAATAAAAACAACAATTTTTCTTGCGTTGGAAACTGCTAACCCACGTGCGTTTGTCTTCACATTCACTAACTTTTTCTGACACCTCCTCTAATACCATTATTTTCTTACATTTACAAAAACGTTAATAATATACAGAGAAAACATTTTTTTACACTGGTGCGCCCATCCAATTATTTAGTGATATTCGGATTTCAGGCTAATTTAAAAGTTTTTCAGCAATCCGTACCCAAAATTTCCCATTACACTGTGGCGAAATTACCAACAATGAGATTACTAACTGATGTACAAATAAGTGGCATGTAAGTTCGCATCAGATTTCGTGTTTCTGTTGTTAAAACTCTGGAATTTGAATACGGAGAAGAGAAATGTAACAAAATTAATATCATCTTTCTTGTTCTTGAAACAAGTATGTAATGGTGTTAATTTTGTTAGAAATAAATTACTTATATTCAGTATCACACAACAGTAAAAATGATTTCAGAATCCTACCAATATTTTTTTCATTTCCAAATTCATCTCTCTTGGAACATAGAAAGCCTCCTTATGAGTATATAGGAAATTATACTTAGATAACCCTCCATCTAAACCATTTTAAGTCAATTATAGTGACTCTGTTAAGACTCTCGTGAATTTTACTTTCAATATTAGTTGTCACATTTTTACAAAACGAATCAACAACATTTTAGGAAGTTATCAGCTTTTCACATATGTAAGCTTATATTAATGATGTATCTACTTTGAATCAAGAAACTTTTAAACTTGTTAAATGTACAAACTTCTATTAGCTTATTACAGTCAATGCCAGTGATTGTAGAGAGCCTAAACAGACTTTTCCATTATTTCTTTTATCTTCTCTCTCACCTAATTTACAACAGAAAAAGTATTTGTGTAAATTTTCATAAAATTACTTTTAAAATAAAGAAATAGAAATGTAATTTTCTTTCGCTTCTTAACATTATGGGGGATGTGCCGATTTAGACATATCTACCTTTAAGTTTACGACCCTTTCTTGAGTACATGTGTAAATAAGTATTAATTATAATTTCAGCAAATTTCGAATTTAAATCTATAAATTATGTATTTCATCATTAAATCATGCATCAAAATTTGTGCATGCGTATATATTATGATAAATATAAATAATTATGTTTTATTATTAAGAAGACAATCAAACAGTTATTTGTGAGGCATTATAATACAGGAAGAAGTACTTAGCTCCAGTGTACATATTATTTAGTTTAGTTTACAATTATTATTTTCTTACACAAGTTTCCATTATGAAGGATTATACTATGTTACGCTATCTTAAAATTCATTCATAAAAACTGCCAATCTTTTGAAACCCGAGATAAAAAACATTTCCTTCAGAATAACTTAGATTTCTGGAGCAACTAAGTGAAGGCTTGCTTCATCGTTTCACACGTTGAGAATGTTAACATTTGTTTTTGTGTGAACTCACTTTCGTGTAAATTCGTGTGAACTGATAAGCTTTAGATTTTCTTGTCAGAACGCAGATCGCCAGTTATAGTAATTATTATGAAAATATTGCGGGTTGTTTCGCATTGTTTCCTAATCTTTGAAAGATTTGGAAATATTTTCCGCCAAGCCCAAATTTTGCTGACACAATTTTAGCATTGTAGGTCGCCAGACATTATATTTCAGCTGACTTTGTGCTGTTTAGTTGAGGATCTTTATATAACTTAATAATAAAAACAACTCTTCTTCTTTTTCGCCTTACTTCGTAAGAAGACAATATTGTAATCGCGCGCCGGATAACAAGTAAGTGGATAAATGTCGTTCCTATATGCATTAAATGTATGCCGGTGGGTGCCTGACGGCGCCAAGTGGACTGAGCGCTGCCTGTGCGAAGGGAGCATTGCAAGTGGGGCGTGCGCGTGTTGCAGGCGTGCAGCAGGCGCCGGGGAGCGCCGCGTGGTTCATGGCCGCCTCGCACGCCAGCACGGCGCGCGCGCGCAACCTGTCGCGCGTGGCGCTCGTCGCTGAGGAGGCCACCAAGTACCTGGCGCAGGCGTGAGTACACGGCCCCGTGCGCTCTTAGCATGTGTTTACTATCTATATGTGTGCGTGTGCGTGTGTGTGTGTGTGTGTGTACATCGGCTGGTATAAAAATCCCTCATGTTTGCTGCGAATTGGACCTGCAATATCCGACCAAAGGTTTCATTTGGTATGCAGAATCCGGTGTAAAATAACTCAGTTTTCCCTTCTGGAAAATCATGGAGAGCGTACATGAGAGGTTTCTGCACCATGCAATTCTATTATTTACAAGAATATGTGAGTTTTTTCTGGTTATTTCAACTACTTATTTATTAGTTTTGCCTGTAAATGTAGTGAAAGTTTTATTTCGGGAAGTTCCGGTGTTACTCCTCCGCTGAATTGTAATTCGACATAACCTACACGACGGCTTGCAGAGTTCCCCTTCGAGGTCTTTTTTCTTTTTCTTTTTCTTTTTTCTGCCAGCGGGGTACCGGGACGCGCTCCAAGTGCTGACCGGTCTCCCGACACGTGCGAAGCTTTCTGCGCTGTTATGCATGTTCTTTAGCAAGATACAAGAATGTGCACAAAATGACATGTCTCCAGAATGTTTTAAAATTACTTTGTATTTGACGGTTGTTAAGCTTTTTATTTCCCGTTTTTAATACTTAGCGTTGCGAATAATAAGATTGAATTTTTTTGACTTGAAAGTGATAAAATATTACTTTATAATTTTTGATAAATTCATAAAAGTATACTCCATAAAACTCAAAATATGATTTCATCAGTTACATATACAAAATCATTGAAATTCTCTGCTGTTGGCAGCCAGTATTGGTGTTTGGGTCTGCTATTTTTCAATGTTTGAAAACAGATGTTCATCACTTGAATAAAGTGCACTCTAGTGCTCTAAATCGTTCTAAAAAATGTATATTCTTCCCAATTGCTCAGTGCCTAAACGAAAATGTGTGCCTGATTGTCAGTGATGAGGTCACATGTCGCGCGCGCATCGGGCAAAGGGCCGTTGTTGCGCTGCCGCGAGGCTGCAGCGACGCTTGGCGCTTGCCTAGAGGCGCCTTCGCTTGTCATTGAGCAATCGGCTCCGGACTCTGCAACAGCTGCGTTGCGAGACTAATGTTTCACAATGTATGTTTAGCTCTATTTAATACAAAACTATTATTTTTAAGTGTTCTGTCATTTCTTGAACGTTACTCTGTTACACTATTTTCATCATACTTCTCCTTCCCCTTTTCCTTATTCCTTTTTTCTTTGCTTTCTCCTTACTATTCTTCCTTCACTTAATATTACCTGTTCTTAACCGTGTCTCCATTTATTCGGTTTTTCATTTTTAGTGCACTTATTGTCACCTCTCGCTTGCATTTTCAAACTGTCCACCACATGGAAGGGATTTTTTCAGAATATTTTCCTCGGGTGTACATCTCGTCTGTTAAAGTGAAATAACGCTCTTTTAAGTTCCAAGTACGATCCTTTAGAGAAAATAAATAAAAAATAAAAGACGACCTCGACAGGGAGGAAATTGAATAAAGGATATAACGTGATAATGAAATAGAACGAAAGCTAAAAGACCCAGGGTGAAACATTCAAAAGTCGAATGGAGGTCCAGTAGAAAACGAAAAAAGAAATGCACCACAATCGAGTTGGTGGAATGCATATCTGGAAATAATATCCAGATTTATCTCTGGTTTCAGGCTGTGACATCTTATTCTGCACAAAGATATGCTTCTTCGAAATATTTTAATGAAAAAAGTGTTAACTTGTAATATTTATCCTTGGGATTGCGAGACAAGGTAACGCTCGCCGCTCGCTGTACTCGTACTCGCCGCGTGCAAACAAGACGCTTCGCAAAGTATGTCTGGCGTAAAACGAAACACAATATTACATGTATGAATATGGCTTGTTGAGTCTGAACAAATGTTCTCCGCCAGGACTACAAGGTCATTCGTGGGAAGATCATGTTTTACAGTCCGTTTAGTAGATGGAGTTTTCTCAGAAGCCAATCACTTAAGCTATCTTTCTTCATTCTATTGCTTCATTCTATCTGATATTGTCATCCAATGTCAATCTGGTGAAATTTACTTTCCACGTTTTCTCTTTTGGCACTCCGAAGTACATAAAGTGTCTGCCAAAATTCCCTGGCAGTAAATTTGGAAACTACAACTAGTCCATCTCCTCAGTGTATTCATGAACCCTTCCTCTTCTTCGGCGCGACGGGGCTAACTGTGAGTTCGATACTTGAGAAAGCAGCGTGACGCCTCCTGAGCGCAACCTTTGAAGCTGCGAGTGGCCGTGACACTTTACTTATGCGTAAATCTTTCACGTTCTTCGTCGCCGTGAATGGCAATCCAGAGTGTAATAAAAAAGGAGATGCAAAGTTCACACAGAAAATTATAAGATACAAATTTGACGAACAAATTATACATAATTTGACAAAAAACAAATAACAAAGAAATAGTTTTGCAAAAGACGAAGAGTTACTACAGCACAACGATCATTTCAATTATGATCATCTCGTTGATTTCATGCTGTACATAATATATATTTAACACACTTGCACATAATATTAAAATGACCATTTTTCATACAATGAAGGGTTTTTCAAGTTTACAATAGTTTACTTACATTTGTTGGCCCATTTCTTTACATCCGTGTTGCATCAAGTACAACGTGCGATGTCTTCTAACGTAGGACAATAGCTTCTTCTCACACATCATAAATGCATACTTAATCTCATAATTGCACCTTTCATTTCATGCTAATGGTCTGACTTTTATCGTACATGCACTACTTCTTTAGGCGAGGGGATTACAAGTAACAAAGATAAATATAAAACAACCATTTCCGTTACATGCAGAGAAGATTTGAAATGCTATTACATAAATTAGTCATGCGAAGCATGGCTAGGCGTATTTTGGCAATAATGGAACTCTCTTCAAACAGAAGTATTAATACATTTCTTAACAAAGCAGATTCACTAATATTTGTCCCAAATTCTCTCCAGAATGTTCCAGGTATTATTACCAAACTAGTAGTGCAATTATTACTTGTAATAAAGAAGCCAGTCTGACGGAAACTGATTATTTTCGTAAACAAATTTAAGTCCATAAATTTGTGTCAGAATATAGTCTCCTAATACATCCACCACAAACCTGTATTTCCATGCACCACATACAAATAATTAAAATATATCAGACCTTCAAAATGGAAAAAATTATATGTACAAACTTCGAATGATCTTGGTTCTCTATTTTTTTAATTTCAATTATTTGCTATCATTTTAAAAATACCTTTGAGCAACTGTTGATTAATATCATTAATTTCACATTTCCAAGCTAACTGTAAATATATTATTTTAAAAATATTTATTCGGAAAGCATCCCTAGAGAAAATATTGCTCAACACCGACATTTGTTTGGATCCGTCCCGGCCAAGATGTCATAAAACAACAGTTTCTCTTTCCTAAAGTCTCACTCCATTACGCCACCAGGGAATAGATACTCAATTTTAACAAAAATATAAATGTATTGAGGAGCCTAAAGTAATTAGCTCTTAAGATATAATTTCATTCAAAATTTGTTATTCCTAAAATTATCATGAATACATTTTTTAAACCAGACCAGTAAAAAAAGTTTAAAAATTTGATACAGGGAATCCAAAGGTATTTTATTATTATAATTGCTCCAATAAGGATCCAGGCAATACTGAATGTGATTGAAGCACAGCAAGCGAATCAGTGGTTTGAATGCTGACAACGCGCGTTGGGGTCGAGTGATCCCATTCTCTGTTGATCTTTGTCTTCACTAAGCGACTGTTGCTCCTCGCTGCGCGGCGTTGCCGCACTCGGCCGATCCGTCGGGCGCCGTGCAGGCGGGGAGTCCGCACTTCGTAGCCCGGCGGAGGCGAAGGCGAAGGCGGAGGCGGAGGCGGCCGCGGCGGCTGCAGCGTTCGAACGTATCGGGTCGCGCGTCCCGTAGCCACGCCCCCGCACCCACTCACCTTTACCTCTTAACCGCGATTCGCCGGCCGCCATCTTGCCTTCGTTCCACTGCTCGGCGTGCGGACGAGGCCTCCGGCAGAGCCCAACGTTTTCGCAAATGCCTCGCTCCCAGGCGCAAACACTGACGAGGAAGCCGTAATGGCGATAATGAAGTAGAAAGTCCGTCCTGAGGATTTTCGACGTTTTCTCACACTAGTTTCGACAAGCTTCTTGGAACTTCTTTTCATAATGTTTACAGAATTCATTTTGAAATAAAAATGCCTATAATACAACAAAATTGAATAAAAATGTTTGTATATTCGTATTTGGTGAGCTCATTAGGATTTTTAAAATTTAAATTTTCATTTAATTGGTGAAATTGACAAATTATCTAAACACATCTTCGTCGAAAATTACATATTTAAAGCAATATCAAACAATGGCAACATCACAAAGAAATAGAGTTAATGAAATACTTTTGCAGCTGTTATGTTTGTCAAACTGGAATATTTTAATTATATTGCCTATTAGTGACTCGTTGTGTAGTAATCAGGGAGCTTACATTCTACTTCTGATTATCAGGTTTCCTTGGAGATCTTATTTTCCTCTGTCCCTCATTCATCAAAATGATGCCAAATGTGAATCATAATAAATATAGAGTGCTAACTATAATTTTAGTTATTAACTTACAAATTACGAAAAGTAGATTAAAATTCTGTCGTATTTTGTTTCATATATTTCAGTTCCCTTAGTAACTCCGAATGTACTACGTTTGGGAATATCCAAATTAGAAATATTTAATAACGTATGCGATCGTAATGTAACAGACGAATTGATGATTTCATCATTTAGTGAAATACCTTGTGCTCATAATTCTCACATTTTCAGACGGATTTTTATATGACTCACTCGTCCTTCGGTATTTCGATGTAATTTGCTGTAGACATGTCTCAGCACTTTCAAATGTCATTCTCTTCAGAATACATTCCATTGCAACATTTCATAAAATA